TGAATCATTTGACTTTAATGTTTATTGACAGGTTAATTGTGCATTTAAAAAATGCTTGCTGTGACCTCTTCCTATATGATTGAAGCATGAAGTTTCATATTCACCTCTAGATGATGTATTGCTATGATACTTTTCAAAGGTGAAATTTTGATAGGTACTACTCTTTCAAAGTTAATTTTACTTCTTAATACTTTATCATTCTGCCATTAGCAACACTGGGGAGGGGAAAAAAACTATCAATAACCACTTTTAAGTCTGACATTCAGATAATTGAATAGGTTTAGCCTGATATTTTCCCCCTCCACAACTAACTCCTTTAGAATGAGCCAGGTGCCTAGGAATTTGATAGATTCACTTCACTCTACAACTCTTTTAAAGACTTCTCTGTGGTCATAAGCAGACATTTGAAATATAAAAGGTGAACTATTAATAGGAAATTTCAAGCTGAAATGTAATTTTAACCTTGTCAATATTCTAAAAGGGTATGTCAGTCTCCGTAGGAAACACTAAATTTCTTTGATTTTGAGTTTAAATACTACCTTGGTAGTGGCTTGCATGTCTTTCTAGATGCTTAGCACAGTAGTCTAAATTTGCTAAGTGTATTCTCTTTGTTGGGTGAAAAAGTGAAAGTCACTTGGTCATATCTGCCCTTTTGCAACCATTCCCTTCTCCAAGTGATCTTCACGACCCAAGGGTTGAACCCAGGTCTTCTTGGATACCTAAGCATATTTTGCTTCAGTGTGACTTAGATTTACCTCAGTAATTATTAAGTTTACTTTTACTTTACTTTGCCTTGGGTCCATCTTGTAAAATAATTATTACCCTTACTAAGACCGTTACTGGGATCTTGGAATAGGTATAGTATAACATCTTGTGTATAAGTGGTTCCTTCAGTTATTAATCTTGGGGAGGGAAAAAACCCAAGATCATATATTTGGAAGTGAATCTTGACTAACATCTCTTTTTACATTTTGAATAGATTACTTCATCAAAATACTATAAAGCCAAGTAACCAGTTTTTTGCAATCATATTCTTTTTTGTTTTAGCTTTTTATTTTGAAATAATTTTAGGTGTATGGAAAAGTTGCAGGAACAGTGCAGAGTTCTTGTGTATTATGGATACTTTCACTCAGCCTCCCCAGTGTTTAACAGCTTACATACTTTATAGTGCCAACAGGTGCAAGAACATATTTGCCCACAGTAGACATTCTCCTTTCCAGGGCAGGATAGAATTGAAATACCATAAGGTGTGTACTTCCTTCCAAAAACAAGTAGCACTTTTTTTTTTTTCCGTAATTGAAGTATAGTTGATTTACAGTGTTGAGTTAATTTTAGGTATACAGCGTAATGATTCAATTGTGGTGTGTGTATATATAATCTTTTTCAGATTCTTTCTTCTTATAGGTTATCTCAAAATACTGAGTGAAGCTCCCTGGGCCACACAGTGTGTCCTTGTTGGTAATCTATTTTATATATAGTAATATGTATATGTTAACCCTAGTTTATCCCCCTCCCCTCCCCCTTTCTCCTCTGGTAACCATAAATTTATTTCTATGTCTGTGGGTATATCTCTGTTTTGTATATAAGTTCATTTGTTTTTTATTCTACATATAAGTGATATCAATTCCCTTGTGGCTCAGACAGTAAAGAATCTGTCTCTAATGCAGGAGAGCCAGGTTTGATCCCTGGGTCAGAAGGATTCCCTGGAAGACAGTGGTATCCACTCCAGTATTCTTGCCTGGAGAATTCTGTGGACAGAGGAGCCTGGTGGGCTATAGTCCGTGGGGTCCCACAGAGTTGAACATGACTGAGCAGACTAACACATAAGCAATATCATAGGACATTTGTCTTTCTCTGTCTAGCTTTATTTCATCTAGTATGGTAATCTCAAGATGTATCCATGTTTCTGCAAATGGCATTATTTAATTTTTTTTATGACTGAGTAGTAGTCCATTCATCTGTTGATGGACATTTACATTGCTTCCATGTCCTGGCTGTTGTAAATAGTGCTGCTGTGAACATTGGGGTGCATGTATCTTTTCAAATTAGGGTTTTCTCCAGATATATGCCCAGGAGTGGGATTGCTGAATCATATGACAGCTCTCTTTTTGGTTTTTAAAGATCTGTACTTTTCTCCACAGTGGCTGCACCAATTTATATATTCCCCCATCAGTGTAGGTTGTCTCTCTCACTCTTCCTTCCTTATTGCTTCTAAAAGTTGTAGAATGTTTTAGCTGAAATGTTGGGAGTTTCTTTGCTCTAAATTTCCTGCAGAGTTATCAAGAGTTTCCAGCAGTAACCTTTGTAAATATCATTTCAGAAATGTTGGCCAGTGTCAGACATTTGTAGAGTCTTTGCTAGCTCATGTTACCTGCTAAAAATGACAGTAATGACTTGAATTTTAATGTAGAGTGGTTTAGGTGCTCTCATATACCACAAAACCCTAGATGGTAAAAATTAGTAATTTTCAATCTTTCTTGGAAATTCCTTATTTAGATAAATACAATAATTTAAAAAACTACCTGGTAATTTTTAAACATTCAGAAAATTGAGGGAAATTTGTCATTCGGGATAATGAATGTATTTCTAATTTTTTAATTATTAATTTTACCTTTGCCTACCATCTTTATAAAATCCATACTTTCTTGCTTTGAAATTGTGCTAACGATGATTTATCCTCTTCCTGATGGTAGTCATTATGGAAATGAGTTATACTGTGCTGCTTTGCATTTTGAGCTGTTAGTGTAGTGGGTGGAGTGTGTGATTGAGAAAGTATGATGATTTGGAGACTACATCAAGAAATTTGAAGCTAACAAGGATAAATATAAAGCCCTTGCCAGAAGGAACCCTTCCTGAAAGAGAATAGGATCTTTGATTCTTATCAAGAGACTAAGGAAGCTCATAAAACTGATAATTGGAACTAGAAAAGCAGTTCAGCTGGTGTGATAACAGTTTTGATTCAGCCAGTGGATGAGTGCGCTAGCAGAGTCAGAAGGCGGGGTGTGGGTGTGGCGACCCTTTCTGCCCATGCTCTCGGAGCCAGGCCCGGCCAGCACTCAGGAGCGCACGCTTTCTTGCTCATATTTTTCTCTCTCTTGCTGTCAGCTGTTACTTCTTGCTGCCAACAAAATGTCTCAAAATATTACTTTTTCTTCCTCTTTCTAATTAATTTTCCACTTCTAATCTGTTATATGCTTAGTTGATCTTTTTAGAATTATGTCTAGAGTAAGAGTAAATTGGCTCTGCAAAGGGTATTTTTAAGTGTGAGGTGCCCAAGATTTTAAACTGGGTTTTTAGTAACATCTGGTCCTTCTGTTTGTCTCTGGATTTTTCTTGTTCTAAGTTATTTTATGAGTAGCTGATTCCCAAGCAGTTAACTTCTGAAGAGGTTTAAAAAAAAGTCTTCCCATCTTTCTATTTTTGACACATTTTATGTATTCTATGCATGGTAAGTGTCTAGTGTGATCTTCAGATGACTTAGCTTTTGCTGAGGGCTAATTGATTGTGAAACAGGACTGTATAATCCAAACTACTGACTTTGTATACATAGCTTTAATGAGAAGAGAAATGAATCCCAGAAATTGACCAGTTGACCTTTATAGTATGAACTATGAAATATACCCTTTGAGACAATGGAAAGCAAGGACAGGACTCTAGGTCATGGGGACTATTTCTGTGACTTGTAAAGTCCAGTTTTTATGTTTAGTAAGTTGGCTAGAGGCCAGATACTAATGTCAGGGTCTGAGTCTTCCCAGAAGCACAGTTTATTCTCTGATATTTCGCTTGTTGTCACTGTTTTGTCTCCTTGGTCTCTTTTGTGCAGTTAAACGCGTCAAAATGTTCTGCATCTTTTGTTCTGCTGTTATTCAAGTTATTTATATTAAAACACCTCAGTTCTTTGAAATTATTTTCCAGAATTTTGTTCTGCAGTAACTACACAATTATTTCATTTTCCAAGCTTAAGTTTTGATTTCACTTGATGAAAAAGAAAAATCTACTTTGAAATGTGTGGTTCTGTTAAATCTGAAAGTATTTCAGACTAGTGATAGCTTTCTGTGAGTTAACAATGTTTTGTGTACAAGAGATTTGCCTCCAAAATGCCACATTTTTAAGGTTATAATATTCTTGGAAAGTGGGAGAAAGTATTCACATCAAAGAAGGCATTTTTATTACATTGGATTACGCAAGACTTTGGCCAGCCTCCTTAGCTTCATCTGTTTAAGGGTTCATTTTCGCTTGTTTGGCACAAGTCCCAGTGGAGGCCTTCAGAATTGTGGTTAGCAACATGAATGAATTACAAACTGTGGACCAGCTCTTCAGTTTGCAGAGCTGGCTTTCTGCCAAAAAGACAGTGCCTTATATGGGGTCAGGGCAAAGCTGTGATTCGTTGAGCCCTGCATTGTATAGAAAACATACTTGTGATGCCTGTTTGCTTTCTTTTAAAATAAAAACAAAACAAAACAGAAAAAGCAGCAGGCTTCCAAGTCTATCAAAATAGGAAGTAACAAAATAGTGTGCAGGTTTTACTAATGACAGAGTTAAGCAATGGAGATATGACTCTGTGTAGTTAAGATACTAAAGGTAGAAGCTGAACCTTTTGACCTCAGGCAGCCTATGAGGTAAGAGACTGAAGCATTTGTTAGACATCTGTTGTCTCCTGCCCTTATTTTCTAAACGGTTTAATAAGATTAAATAACTAGTCATATGTTCACGTGGTTACCAGGCCACTGGTTTTGGTATCAAATAGATACTTTGAAATTAAATCACAAATAGTTAACTTTGTGCCAGTCTCAGTGCTCCCTCTCTCTTTTGAGTTATGTAACTTTTCAGAGACTGGAATGTTGAAATGGTAAAACAAGAATGAAATTTGCACTTTAGAAAGTCAGGAAGTTCTACTTACATTCTTATGTTGGAGAAAATAGTTGTTGCTAGGTCTGTTAGGAAGAAAAGAATTAAGATATTTTATATAATAATTTGTCTTTGAAATTCTTTTCATTTAGGCAAATACCCTATCTGGATCGTCTCTTAGTCAGGCATCATCTCATATGTATGGCAATAGATTAAATCCAACTTCATCAATGGCAGCTCTTATAGCTCAGTCTGAAAACAGTCAAACAGGTAAGGTTTCAAGAATTTTTAAACTCTAAAATTCTGTTCCCCTCCATCAATGTGATTTTTACCCCCCATCAGGCTAATTTCACTTGAAAAATCTAAAGATGTGGTTAATAAATAAAATCTAAAGGGGAGGATTGTGTGTGTGTCCCCTCCTCCCCTTTTAAATGAAAAGAATTACAGTTGGAAGTAAATAGTATGCTGTGCTGCAAAATCTGCGCCTTTTTTTACTGTCTGAAATGTAAATGTTTAAGCAGAGCCATCAGCAGGCAGGAATGCTCGTGTCTCCTGTGACTTTTGTGATTGATGTGTTCAGTGCTCAGTTCTGTGCAATGGAAGTAGCATAACACTGGGCTTTCTGTGAATAGCCTCAATCTTTATTTGCATAATTCATGAAATTGCATTACACAAACTTGGTTAAAAAAATCCTGTTAGAGAATTTCTACAGTGTTTAGTAATCCTGTGAATTTTTACCAGTTGACATTTTGTAGCATTTGCCTCTTGTACTGTTTTAATGAGCCACTGGATTTGCTTTGTTTCTTTCCACCCTTAAGGATTTGTTGACATGTCCAAGTAGTCATGCCTGTTTGGGGGAAGGGAATGGGTTTAGCAGTTCACCAAGAATGGATCAGTCATGTCTTTACCCTTCAAGGGTCAGAGGTCACCTGACTCAGAATAAGGGGAGGATGACCTTGAAAGAGGCCAGATAGGGTGATTTTATAAGGAACTCACTGTAGGGGAAATACAAATTATTTTTCAAGCCGAGATACTGGTTATCACCTCAGGAATATCTTTAAAAAATTAATTTCTTTTTGCATATAGAATTCTGTATTCCTACTTGTCTTTGTCCATTTGGTTATTTAGTGTTACGTGTAATAATCCACATAACATATATATAATTTTAGTTTTGGTGTGTGGCTCTATGTAATACATATTATTTTATGACTTGTCTTGGAATGTGAAGTGTTAAAATATACAACGCATAAGGATTTGCTGTGATAAGCATACAGATTAGCTGTCCACAGCTGTGATTCATTACTTTTACCGTAGAAATTAAAAGTGGCTGAGGGGAGGGTACTGCAAATGGAAACCACGCTTCTGTGCTGTAAAATTGAAAGGAATGAAAGAATGAACATAATCCATGGCCTTCTCCACCCACCAAAAAAAAACGTGTAGGGACAACGCCTTACATGCCACAGCTCAGCAATTCTAAACTAGCAGCATACTAGATCTTCTACTTTTGTAGTGACTGCAAAGATAGTGGTAAAGGTTTTATGTATGTTTTAGGAAAAATCAGGGCCAGGGCTTAAAACCTCTCATCTAGTGAGAGTCACTTTATCAGCTGTGAAATATTTACACTGCAGATCAAGATCTTGGAGACAATAGCCGTAGCCTTGCTGGCAGAGGAAGCTCACCCAGAGGAAGTCTCTCACCAAGGTAAGCATTATTTGCACTGCAAAGTATCAGCAAAGGAAACATTTTGAGATTTGGAAACTTCTTTATCTCATATCAGCAGAGCTTACATTTGTGAGGCTATAAAAGCATTCTGTAGATAAGAGGCATGTCTGGACAGTCAAGAAAAGTGATTCTAAATTAATTTGAATATTAAACATGTGGTTAGATTTCTAAGCTTTATAAGAGACATGCCCTTTCCTTGGATCTCTAATCAGTTTGAGCTCTCTAGTATATTTAGCTGCAGGTACTATTAATGTGTTAATTTGGGTAATTCTTTTTGGGTTATAAAATAGTCTTAAGATCTCTTAAAGCTGCAGACTTCAGGCTTTCAACTTTGGGTTCCAGCTTTAGCGCTGTTGTGGGCTATGTACTTAACCCTTTAGTCTCCAAGTTCCTAATTCAGTAAATGAAGTTCTTATGACTTGTCTCTAAAATCCCTCTAAAATTGTTTGAAACAAAGTATAGCAAATATATTATACTTGTTCTGTGAAATTCTTGGATATTATATAAGAGAGTTCAGATGTCATTTATAATATTAATATATATGTCAGATTATTCTTGCTAACAGGACACGTTTTTATTATTTAATAGGCTGTATTTTTATTAATTTTATTCCACTCTCAACTTCCATACCGTTTTCTAGTTGTGTTCTCTCTTTTCTCAAATTTTGTAAACTCCACCTCAAGCCTGGTATTAGATTGGGTGAAAATGGAGCAGGTGGAAGAAGAAACCCACTTAGAATATCTTTTCAACTATGGAAGTTTAGAAATTCTGTTTAAAATTTTTATGTAGTGACTATCATGAATATATATATAAGCAGTGTTGCTTATATATTTATTACTTATTTGGGAATGTCTGTTAAGGAGCATTTTTAACGTTAGATTCGTCCAACAACCTCTATTTTAGGTATTTTCTAGTGGCGCATCAGTAGTTCCTTTTTTCCTGTATGATCCTTGGTTGAAATAAAGGTTGTATTGTTTTCCCCAGTTGAACTCTTCAGAAAATTAAATATTATTCTTTTGAAACTAGGACTCTGAAGTACAGAATAAAAACATCATCAGATCAATCTGTAATTTATGCTGTGCTACTTTTGTGCTGTTTTATTCTTTTTTTCCCCAAAGGAGAAAGTTAATGGATTTTTTTGCTCATATGTTTAGTGGAAGAAGCATCTCTGTGTGCTCCTTTTAAATTTAAAATATCATACAGGCAACCCTAGAAATTAGGTAAGATTGCTTAGTGCTATCTTGCATTGTGTAGTTCTTTGTGTTTTGTTAGCTAAATAGGATTTAACACCAAAACATGGCACTAAATTACTTTTAGCACATATTTCCGAGTGTATATTATTCTTTAAAAATCAACTTGGAATAAAATAGCCTAAATTATCCTGGCAATAATGTACTATTTGGGAAGGGACAGGCAGCTGTATGTATAGCACTCAATGTTTACATGTGGAAGGAATAAAAGGACTCATTTGTTTAACTTCTTATTTGAAGGGATTTTTGTGGAGACGCGTGTTAGGGCTGCAACAGAATACTAGCAGGCTGTGAGAGGCCCTGAGCTGTTGCCCAGTTCTGTCACTCACTAGCAGTGTCTTTGGACAAGTCACTAAAGCCCCATCTTGTTTCCTCAAATAGGAATTGAGCCAGTAAGGTGGGTTTTGACTTCCCACTAGGTTGGTGTGACGATAATTATATGAAAGTACTTTGGAAACTCCACAGCCCTAATTCATTATGTAATAATGGAGGCCGGAGACCAGAAATGGGCACATTTATGTATTTAAAACAAAAACTGAATGAGAGATCATTACATGTTCATGTTAATATAAGTGATTTTTGTTTTGTAATGTTTAAGTTCTTATCATTTGAAGTACAGATCTAAGAGATGTCAGGAAAAATTCATTTAACTGTACAGTGTGAATCTTTCTAATCCCATCTTTCTCCCTTTTGTCTTATAAAGTTGCATCAAATTCTTTTACTGCCAATTTCAGAGATTATTAGTAGTGTATTTATATTTTCTAAAGTTTTTTACTTATTCTGTATGCCAGCTATTCCCTTGGTTTTTACCACTTGGGGAGGAAGGGTGGTAATTACTAATTTTAGGGTAGATTGTGGTTTTATCGTTTTAGCCTAGATAACTTGGTGTTAGAAAACTTGTACAGGAGAAGAGTCAGCATAAGGTGAGAAATGTGAATATACTTCCCTTAGAGGGTCCTCCTCCTGTTTAACCTGAGGATTAATGTTTCCAACAGGTCCCCTGTAAGCAACTTACAGATCCGCTATGACCAGCCAGGCAACAGCAGTTTGGAAAACCTGCCCCCAGTAGCAGCCAGCATAGAGCAGCTTCTGGAGAGGCAGTGGAGTGAAGGACAGCAGTTTTTATTAGAACAGGGCACTCCTAGTGACAGTAAGTATCCTCTTCTTATCTTTAAAGGAAAAGCAGTAGATGGATGGATGGATGGATGAACAGACATTCAGGTGGACAGATATAGAAGTCACTCTTTGTCAAGAATAGCATTGAAATTATGATGTATGTCTTATATAATATGGTGAGAAAGTGTAATGTAATGGCTTAATAGAACAGAGGCTACAGTTTTACCCCTTGGACTGGAACTCTGTTTTTACCTGTTATGAAGTGTGATCTTGGGCAAGTGTGTTAATGTCAGTATGCTCTAGTTTTCCATTTATAGGATGAGAATAATAATGTACCTATATCACAGTATTGTTTTGAGGGTTAGATGACATAAAAGATATGATGAACATTGCTGGCTTGTAGTATTCACTGGTTCTTATTACTTTTTATAATTATTAATATTAAAATATTAGTACTTTGTTTCTACATTCTACTTTGTTCTAATTAGTTAAGTTTTACTAAAAATATGAGCTGTAGCTTCTTTTAGCTTGTTTGAATAAAACTTGCTCACCACTGTAGAATTTATTTTTAAAAATGTGTATAGTCAAGTAAGGCCAACTTTCTTGATTTTATAATTTGGATGAGAAAGAATAAGTACTAAGTTATATATACATTATACATATACTATATGTTATTTATATCATTTACTTGCTAAATTATGTAGTGTATGTTATATATACATATTCAGTATCTTTACAATTTTAAGTATATCTGGTGGAAATAATAGGTGTTTAATTTTTATTTTTTTCTAATAATTTGAGGGGGTATAAGCTTTTGCCTCTTTATTTTTTAAAACAAAACAATATTTTGCTCATTATTAGACGGGTACTGTAAATTTGGTATTTTTATGAATGGTGCTCTTGACAAAAAATGCTAATTGTGAGGAAATTCATGCCGGGATAATCCTTTAAACATGATAGCTGGAGGACAGGTTTAGCTTAGTCTTACTGCATCTCATTTGGGTACACTAAGGGATCTGTGTGGGATCTTGAAGAGGAGGGATAAAAGTTAAATCCTTGGGAAATGACTGTATGTGTCTGTACCAGTAGAATTGTGTCTTTCGAAGGCCCTGAGGGCATGTTAAACAAATACAACTTTTTAATACGTAGAACTTTAAAGTGTCCATCACCATGGCGTCTCTGCTGTCCATTGAGAGGTCCGAGCTGTGGCAGGAATGGAAAAAGTGTTTGAGGTGGTCACACAGGACAGCCTGCGTGCAGAGGGCGCGCCTTTGCTGGGAGCCGGGAGTAGGGCTTTGGTGCGCGCACACTGCTCCCTGCTGGGCGTGTGTGGATCTGCAGGCCGAGCGGCTGAGCTTCCTCGCCCAGGGTCGTCGGGTGGCTTGCCTAGTTTAACCAAACAAAAAATAAATGCTCATGCTCTTTGTCTGTGTCGAAGGATATTGGTGTGTGTGATTCTTTGCCCTTTAAAAAATGATTTCAATGAAAAATCATGGCGAGCACTTTGAATTTTTAATTAGGTTTTTATTTTGATGAAATGTTCTTGTGATTTTTATTTGAGAATGGAAATTACCTGAACTAGGTTTGGGTGTTTTGTTAGTGGCAACAAAGTTTCTACACAGTACATCTTGGAACAATATCCCTTCATGCTTATATAGGTAGAAATATATTATTATATATTTGTATCTGCATATAAATTTAGAAATAGAACCTAGTCACTTAGAAATGCTTTACAGAATTTCTACTTTTCTGTTTTATTTCTAAAGTTATTGACAGAAGTCCATAAAATACCTAGTCCTGTGTGTAAAATTGTCTATTCAAACGTCTGCTAGTTTTAGGGATGCTGAAGTCATTACATCAACTTCAAGTAGAAAATCGAAGATTAGAGGAACAGATTAAAAACTTGACCGCCAAAAAGGAGCGCCTTCAGTTACTGAATGCGCAGCTCTCAGTGCCTTTCCCAACGATCGCAGCAAACCCCAGCCCCTCTCACCAGATGCACGCGTTTCCAGCACAGAGTGGTAAGTGTGGATTATTGTGGGTCTGCGGAAAGTAGGGTGGACTTCTCATTGTCTGTTTCATAGTAAGTGGTCATCAGTTATATGAAGATGTAGAAAAGGAATAATAGGTTATTTTAGAGGAGCATAAAGAATCCTGTTCAGTGTTCAATTTGAGTTTGCTCTAACATCTTTAGTACAGAATTTAATGATAAAATTTAAGTGTATGATGATATCTATTGATTTAAAGCCATGATATTCAATAGATATATAGATTTTTTCATTCAAATTGGTTTTAAGATTAGCAAGGCTTAATATTTAAGTGTTTTTAATGTGTGCTTCAGACTAAGCTTTTAGACAAGTCTTTAATCTTACATGTAATGTAATTCAACAGGTAAATAGGTTTCTTTTTTCTTTCTAGCTCCTGCTACTGATTCCTTGAACAGCAGTAAGAGCCCTCATCTAGGAAACAGCTTTTTGCCTGATAATTCTCTTCCTGTATTAAATCAGGTAATTTTGGTGTGGTTAATTTCATTTGTGTGTTTTACTTACAAACAACAGTATATCACATTAAATGGTTTAAAATAATTTTAAACAGTTTTGCTGTGTTGTTTACAACTTGGTTCCTATTCTTTCTTATGTTAGGACTTAACCTCCAGCGGACAAAGCACCAGCAGCTCATCGGCTCTTTCTACTCCACCTCCTGCCGGGCAGAGTCCAGCTCAGCAGGGCTCAGGCGTTAGTGGAGTTCAGCAGGTCAATGGTGTGACAGTGGGGGCACTGGCTAGTGGAATGCCGACTGTAACATCCACCATTCCTGCCGTGCCTGGAGTGGGTGGAATAATTGGAGCTTTGCCAGGTAACCAACTGGCAATTAATGGCATTGTAGGAGCTTTAAATGGGGTTATTCAGACCCCTGTCACGATGTCCCAGAACCCTACCCCCCTCACCCACACAACTGTACCACCTAATGCAACACATCCAATGCCAGCTACACTGACTAACAGGTAAGAAACTTAAGTATCTTTTGCGGTTTTTAGAGCAACATGGTACCAATGCTATCCAAGCTTTAGTTAGGGATTTTTTAATGTGTCCCTTGTAGATGTGCTCTAAGAAAGTAAAATACACAAACTAAATATATTATATGAGGAGCCATTTATTTTTGACACTTTAGTAATTCAGATTAAATACAAAGTTAAATCACTTTTAGTAACAAAGCATAAGCATTAAATATATTCTGTACTGAAAATTTCAGTCTTGATCTGTAATGTCTGTTTTAAATGCTATTTTTCTTAACCTCGTGTATCAAAACTTCTGGAGCAAAGTAATATTGTAATGAAGATACACATATGAATGTTGGTTTCTTAAAATTCAGCTATGTAATTTTGTTAGCTTTGTAATCAAAGATTTCGATATAAGATGAAGGTCAAATATTTATCTTGAATTTCCAGGGAGTGAGACTTGCTGTTTCATTGTGCTGGAATTTCATCTGAATGGAAAAGCTATGTTGTTACTGCACATACTTTTGAGGAATAAATCATTTTAAATGGATTTGTAGTGGATAGTAGTAAACTGTTTCTTCTGGCTCTCTTTTCGTTGGTGCTTAATTTTACTGACAGTTGGGACCATAAAAAAAGTTTAAGTAAAATCAGTTAGTAGTATGTTTGGATTCTTTCTTTCTTTTAATATGTGTTTCTTAGTGTGGGTTAAATTATCCTTGAATGATGAAAATAAAGTATTACATGTGCATATAAATTTTTATTCCATTAAACAACTTAGTGCCTGCTTGGTTTACAATTAAAAGGGAACCAAAACATTTATTGACAATGTGAATTGTTGTTTACCTATATATATGCAGAGAGAGAGAAGAAATTTTTACATCATTAAAAAAAAAGTACTTATGGTTAAAAACTTGACTTGTTAACTTATTAAACATCAAATTGAGAAGTTCTTTCATTTTACATTAAAAAAAAGGTTTACAGTAGAAAGTAAGAATTTTCATCATTTTTCAGTGCCTCAGGACTAGGATTACTTTCTGACCAGCAAAGACAAATATTTCTTCATCAACAGCAATTCCAGCAGTTGTTAAATTCGCAACAGCTCACACCAGTAAGTTCTTCCTTTTGATAATATTTGATCTTTATTAGCAGCAAGTGATCAAAGTTTTAATAAGTATTCAGTGTGTAGGTATAGATTACCCACTTTGTGAAGTGACATGGTATAGTCTATGATACCTGTAGTGATATTAATTATGTGGATTCATCAACAGGTATTAGAACATTATTGTGCTGCTCTGGTAGACTCTGGTGAACAAGACTTGTCTTTTCATGTAGCTTCATTCTGATAGGGGAGATGGACATTAGATACATATTTTTTGGTAGTGATGAGTACTGGGGGAAAAAAATGAAGTAGGATAAGGGAATAGAGGACAGTGGGGGGAGAGCCATGGTAGGTAGGATGGTCCAGCCACTGAGCAGATGACTTTTGAGCACAGATCTGAATGAAAGGTGAAGGAGCATGCCGTTCTGACACTCAGGGTCGAGGGACTAGGGCACTTGTGCTGCATGACTGGGCTGGTGTGGAGGAGAGCAGGCAGGTGTGGGCACAGGGTCATGGGCTGCCTTGTTTGGCTGTCCATGGTATGGGGTTTCGATTTATCCTAAGTGTGATGGAAAGCCATTGGTGATTTTTTCTTTTTTTAAAAAAACCTTTCTTTGTGGAAATAAGCATTCAAGTGTACCAGCAGTAGAGAGTATGGTATACCAATTGCCTAGCTTTTATAATTATCCCCATTTAAAAGTCTTTTTTCATTTATCTTTATTTTTCCTGTCAGGATTTTAAAGAATTAAGTGTAGGGTTTTGAATACAGTAGTGACATGACAATAATTTACATTTTAAAACATTAGTTTAGCTGCTGAATGGAGAATAGTGTGTGTGTGTTGAGGGGAGGAGGACTCTGGTCTAGGTGCTGCTGATTTATGAGAGCAAGATAAACATGGTGAAACTGTCTAGAATTGTGTATTTTGAAGATAAAGTCAATAAGACTGGTTTGTTGGACATTTACTTGAATGATGTACTGATGTACTTGGATGATGTACTTCCAAATCTCGTACTGAGATTTGGAAGATTAGGAGGAACACCATGTTTTGGCAAGAGAACAGGAGTTCTGTTATGGACATGCTGATTTGAGATGTCTGTTTAGATGTTCAGGTGACACAGATTAAGCAGTTAGATGAGTCTGGAGTCCAAGGAAAGGATGAGGTTGGAAATAGGACCTTGGAGTCATTGCTGCATATGTGATGTTCAGATTCACACAACTTGCTGAGGGCAGTAGGGGATGAAGACTGGCGCCTGAGGACTGGGCTCTGGGCATCCTGAAAGAGACAGTAATCCAGTCAAGGGTCTTGAGGAGAGATTGAGGGGAGAGTTAGAACAGAGTGATGACCTCGAGTCCATGAAAAGAAACTTTTCAAGACAGGGAGGACTCAGCTGAGTAAAATACTCTGGTGAGACAAGTAAGAACTGCCCATTGAAAATAGGTGTCTAGAACTCTTTGAGAATGTGATTTTGGTGAGACGTGAAAAGCTTCATTGAGTGGTTCAAAAGAACACAGGAAACACAAATGGAATACAGGCCACCTGAGATATTTTACTGTGAAGAGCAGAGAAGTCAAAGAGCAGTTAGCATTAGGAAGATGTCTAAGGGCGTCTTTCTATTCATTTTGAAAATGACAGCATGTATATATGTTTTTTAAAATTAATTTATCTTTGGCAGCACTGGGTCTTCGTTGGCACGTGTGGACTTTTCCTAGTTGCGTCGAACACGGGATCCTCTAGTTGCGGTGCACCAGCTTCTCAGTGCGGTGGCCTCTCGTTGTAGAGCACAGGCTCTGGGTGCAGAGGCTTCAGTACTTGTGGCGCATGGGCTTAGTTGCCCCGTGGCATGTGATGGTATCTTCCTGGACCAGAGCTGGAACTCATGTCTCCTACATTGGCAGGCTGATTCTTATCACTGGACTGCCAGTGAAGCCCTCTGTGTATGTTGGCGGGTAATTTTCTGGTGCGGAGAGAGAAGGGGCAAGGCCAGGGAGCACAGTGCTTCAGGAGGGAGCAGCTTTACCTGGTAAGAGGGAGGCGCAGAAGCTGTAAGTGGGTTCACGACAGGAAGCTGAAGAAGCCCACTTCCGATGTTTTTAGTTTTTAAATGGGAATTATAAGTAAAGTCATCAGCTGACAGAGATAGGGAAATTGTGGTTAGAGGAGAGGAAAGGTGTGGAGCAGTTATCTTGGAGGAGGGGTGAGAGAACTACGGCACCTTATGCTGTGTCTTGAACACCTCACTGAGTTAGACTAGGAGGACACTCCTTTAATTAACTCAAGGTTTCAGCCTTTGTAATTTCTTTCTAAAATCACCCACCGACTTTCTTGCTTTAGTCAAAAATACATTGAAAATGTCTATTTTACAATTTTGGATCATTGTCATTGTTCTTAAAATGATGTGAGGATAGGTTACATGTAAATTCTTGAATGCTTACACTAAACTGGGATCTTGTTTTCTTATCTCTTGCCACATCTTATTATGAAGTACTGAAATTTCAATTTATTTGGGGTTCTTCCTGTTAATTAAGACTTTAACAGTCACATGTAGGTGTCTTGTTTTTGGAATGTGGTTGATTAAGAAATTTTTAGCACACATCGTTGCCCAGAGTCCATGAAGGCTGAGTGGATTAGACTTGATATCCTTTTGCCAGCCAAGGCTGTGGGATGAGGTTTGTTCATTGATAAGCATTGAACTTCACGTAGGCAGAAGTGGTCCTGTGCGGCACCTCCTCTCTCCCACTTTAAGGACAAACTCTTGCTGGACCCGCCTCCAGCTACTGCCCATGCTCAGCCCGGTCCATTCCCACCTGGCGTCTCCTCTGGTAACGGCTTCTGTCCCTGAAAACTCTCTCTTCCCCTTGCTGCCAGGATCTTGGTTTTCTTCCTACCTAATTGGTTCTTCCTTTTTAGCTTCCATTCCTGGGTGCTCCTCTTTTTCTCAGTCCCTCTCACTTCAGAGGGTCCTTGAATTCAGGGTCTCCTCTAACCGAGTGGCTTTAAAGACTGTGCCAACTCCGACTTCTCCAGACCAGGCCTCTCTTTGAAATTTGCAGCTGTCATACCCACTGCTTCCTTGGTGCTGCCACTTGGCTCTCTTAATAGATGGTGCAGACATACCATGTCCACACTGAACTGTTAACCTGTCACACGGTGCCCCCACTGCAGCTGATGCACCTCCATCCTTCCAGCTGCTTCAGCCAGAAATCCCTGCAGTGTTTACTTTACCCTCTCTTCTTCTGACACCTCACATTGAATCCATCAAGAAATGTCAGGTCAGGTTACGTCACTCCTCTGCTTCGTCTGCCTTGACAGTACTCTGAGAAGAGCCAGTGTTCTCAGCCACACTGCAGGCCCTCGTCCTTCTCCAGCCTCTGTCTTGCTCACTACACTCCAGCCCTGGTCCCCTCGCTTGTCCTGGGTCATGCTGGCTACACCCACAGGGCCCCTCAGCACTGGCTAGCATTCTCTGTCCCTAGAACCATCTGCCCTCCTCCTCACCCCACCCAATCCACATAGAGAATTCCCTCATCTCCTTGCATCTGTAACCAAGTGAGGGCCCCCTGAAACCGCCCTCCCACCCAATAGTCCCTCTCACACTACTGTTTCGCTTGACCCTTGGCAGGAATCACATCCTAACACTTCTTCTCCCCAGAACAGTGCCTGGCACATCACAGTAAGCACTTAGGAATGCTGGAAGGCATGGCATGGTAACCACATCAGGAGAGCACTCTTTCTGTTGGCATGAATGAGAACTTTAAAAGTTAAGAAGTTGGTGCAACAGTAATTGCGGTTTTGTTGACCTTTACTGTTTGATATTGGAATACATTTTTAAATGTGGCTATGTTATACATCATTTTAATGAGTATTTCTCACTATATGGTTTTTTTTTTTTTTGGCTAATGACTTATTACTTGCTGTTTATTTTATATTTATTTTAGACTATGGAAATGATGTTAGACAAAAAGCAAATTCAAGCAGTTTTCTTATTCGAGTTCAGAATGGGTTGTAAAGCAGTGGAGACAACTTGCAATGTCAACAACACATTTGGCCCAGGAACTGCTAACAAACGTACAGTGCAGTGGTGGTTCAAGAAGTTTTTCAAAGGAGATGAGAGCCTTGAAGATGAGGAACATAGCGGTCAGCGATCGAAAGTTGACAGCGATCAATTGAGAGCCCACATTGAAGCTGATCCTCTTAAAACTAAACAAGAAGTTGCTGAAGAACTCAATGTCAACCATTGTATGGTTGTTCGGCATTTGAAGCAAATTGGAAGGGTGAAAAAACTCCATAAGTGGGTACCTCATGAGCTGACTGAAAATCTAAAAAATCGTAGTCTTGAGGTGTCATCTTCTCTTATTCTCTGCAACAAAAACAAACCATTTCTTGATCGGATTATGATGTGCAATGAAAAGTAGATTGTATATGACAATCGGCAATGACCAGCTCAGTGGCTGGACCAAGAAGACGCTCCAAAGCACTTCCCAAAGCCAGACTTGCACCAAAAAAAAGGTCATGGTCACTGTTTGGTGGTTTCCTGCTGGTCTGATCCACTCCAGCTTTCTGAATCCTGGTGAAATCATTACATTTGAGAAGTATGCTCAGCAGATCGATGAGATGCACCGAAAACTGTAACTGTAACACTGCAGCCGGCAGTGGTCAACAGAACGGGTCCAGTTCTTCATGACAGCGCCCGACTGCACATCACACAACCAGTGCTTCAGAAGTTGAACAAATTGGGCTACGAAGTTTTGCCTCATCCACTGTATTCACCTGACCTCTTGCCAACCAACTACCACTTCTTTAAGCATCTCGATGACTTCTTGCAAGGAAAATGCTTCCACGACCATCAGGAGGCAGAGAATACCTTCCAAGAGTTCATTGAATTCCAAAGCATGGATTTTTGTGCTACAGGAATAAGCACATTTATTTTTCATTGACAAAAATGTGTTAATTGTAATGGTTCCTATTTTGATTAATAAAGAGGTATTTGAGCATAGTTATATTTATTTAAAATACATGATATAAAACTGCAATTACATTGCACCCACCTCTTAAAATAACTTTTAAAGTTCTCATAATAAGAGCATAATAAAATAACTCTTCGAGTTCCCAGAATTACAGGAGGGATTTCACCATGCAGTGATTTCTAAAGCCAAACACAGATCACCGTGGCTTCTCTAAGTTGCCATTTTCCTTGATTCTCGTGTACAATCTCATTTGAATAGGGGTTCTTTAACTTTTGCTTGTTCCACTTTGAAAATAAAGCCATTCCCTGATGATATTGACATTTACAGTAGATGGTTATTGTCTAATGCAGTGTGTTTTTCCAGATGAGATTCTTGTTGTCTTTCTTAGTAATAGGACTTTGATATCACTTCAATACCTAGTATCAGAGTAAAGAAGAAAAGGGACAAGGCAGGCTGCCCCGCTGGCTTGTCTGGGCTGGGAACTCACCCCTCCGCGTGTTCTTGTTAAGGAGCAGCACCAGGCGCTTCTGTACCAGCTGGTGCAGCAGCACCACCAGCAGCAGCAGCAGCACCACCAGCCCGACCTCCAGCAGCTGCAGATCCCAGGACCCACTCAGATTCCCATCAACAACCTGCTCGCAGGCACGCAGGCGCCTCCCCTCCACTCAGCCACCACCAACCCGTTCCTCACCATCCACGGTGATAATGCAAGTCAGAAGGTAACTGTAAGTATCTGTGTTTTGTTACAGCTAGTGAAATCACAGAGCCAATTTTAGTGATTAGAGATGACTGTCTCTCCGGCCCTTCCCTTCTTCCCTCTTTCCTTTTCTCTCTTTTAAAATATATTATCCCCCAGATAACTTCTTCTTAAAACCAGTTGTTTTAGCAGCTGGATGTTGTAAACACAAAGGACCTAAGCCAATTTCTATATCCCCTAAGTATATCAGTTTGAATTTGCACATAAGGTTGGAAGGCTGTTTTATTTTTTTATTTTTTGGAAGGCTGTTTTATAATTCAGCAGTTTTTTCAAAATGAAAATGTTTTGGTGTATAGTAAGTGATATGGGACAGTCCAATCAAAAGATAAGTAGTTGGTATTTTGAGAATCTTTGTTTAAGTGATTTGTTTAACTATAGAAATAATCTAGATAATTTAGGATTATTTTTATTGTTTTGCTCAGATGTGCTAAAACTGAATTATACTTACGGTAAAATTAATATATAAACTTTAGGGAAATCTAGTTATTCTACTGGATAGAAAGTAAATCATAGTCACAATTGTAATGAAATTTAAATTCTTAATCTTATGTAAATGATAGCAAAAAAAATGGGTGCAGGAACAGTATACTTATACATACAGTAGCACACATTTTAAGGCTGTTTCTTTCTATTAATTCTCCCCTTCAATCAGGTCTACTTTACTGGAGTATAAATGTTTCCCCTAAATTCCAGTTGAGGGCAGAACCCTGTTAGAGGAAGGATATTGGGATATAGAATGGAGACTGGACACCAGGAAAAGGAAGAAGGGAAAGAATGAGGTGGGAGACTTGGCAAAAATGGTGTTCAAAGTCACAATGTTTGCTCTTTCCCATTACTTTGAAACCTTGCTCTTTACTGTGCTTTTAGTTTTCAGAAGCTTTAGTTTGTATTTAGTAACAAGAATTGGTTCAAAACAAAGTATACTGGTTTTCATTACCTCTTCAATGCTTTTTGTTTACCCCACTGTTCCTCTGACTTCCTGATTGTGAATACTGTCATCATCATTATCACAAACCTAGTTTTGCAGACATGGAAATTTCATTGATTCTGTACTAATTTAGATCTTTTTTTTTTAACTGTTTTTTGCTGTAAAGTTTTTTCTTGTGTTAAAAACAAAAAGGTTATACAATATGAAATGTATTTTAATGGAAAATCATGATAGTAAACACTGTCACTATTAATTACCTAATGTAGAAAAGCAAGGCTGGGAAGTAATATGAGTATCCTGCTGTGTGGCAGGCATCTTTACTAGAGACAATAGTATATATGGTTCCAGTCTTTAAACTATTAAAAAACCTGTTTTTTAAAATAGGGAGAGTCAAAGAGGGTAAAGTTCAAAGGACAGATAAGCACGTATGTGGGATCAGAACCCATGACTTCCTTATCTGTTTATTTTCCACATGACTGTGTTACTACTACCGTGGAAAAGTCCGTTTTGGAGGGATGATTTCTACTTTTCATTTCTTATGTCTTTGTGTACAGCTGAATTTAATATAAAGCAACTGAATGTTTACCAGTATTTTCATGTCCTTACATTATGCTGAAAAGTAGCCATGCTGACTTGTAGAAAAAAGGAATAGCCGTATATACTACCTTTTATCTCAGTTATAATTTGTTAAGAGATTGTTTCAAGTGTGGGCCAAAAATTTCTTTAGCTAATGCACTTGATTTTGTTTGTTTTAACTGCAGAGACTTAGTGATAAAAGTGGGCCTGTTGCTCAAGAGAAAAGTTGACACTTGAGGAAAAAACATCTAGAAATGGCCTATCCTGCTGTCCTAGCACTTCATCTGGCTGCTGTTGCAGTCCTTTTACTACACCTATGAAGAAATGCAACAAGAAACCAGCTGCACGACAAAGGATTAATTGCCATGAGAGCATTCTTGTAAGGCTTTGGTTGATGTTGCTTTGTTGCACTGAAATGAAATTCCCATATCCCCTACCCCTCTCCCAGATTATTTTGAACTTTGAAAGAAAATTTAATGGCTAACTTTGGTCAGTGAAATAATTTACATGGCAATGAGTTTATCAACCTAAGAGAAATTAAATATAGTTGGTACACAACTAATTTTGATTATAAATTGCAGAGATGACTAGCAAAACTAAAGACTTGTTCCATTTATAAACCATTTGATTTTATTGTACCAGTTGGAACATGAAATATGATCTTTTGTTTGGGTTACAGTACATTTGCTCTGTGAGTCAAACCTTAAAACAAATTTCAAGGAACTGTTTAATTTCTTCTTCTAGAGTTTTATTGGTTAAATATTACAAATAAATAGGTCATCCACTGGGACTTGGCAATCTTTGTTATAAAAATTTCCTTTCTAATGGGATTTGGCCAATTTTGGTAATCAAGTTAGGATGGTAAATGTCTGCTTCTGCTAAAGGTAATTTTCTTTTGCTAAATGCTTTTTCTTTAGTGTTAAGACCTACTCATATTTTGAAGAAACCTTGAGTTAAGTGAGCTCTAAGGCTGCTGGGGGAACCAGCTCAATTCAGAATGAAAGAGGGGCCACTCTGGAAACTGCTGGTAGGGTTTGGCCTGGATCAAGTGCCTGTTAGTACCTGCCTTGTGCTGAAGTGGCTCTGGTCAGCTGAGTAGCAACAGCAGCCTTCCCCGTGGTTCTGCCTTTATTGAGAACTTTCTATGCCACTGTAGATAGCTCAGGCGAAGCTATTACCTGGGTATTTATCCACTAATGAGTCACAAGAAAAATGTGTGGATTTGGTAAGAATTTTCTTTTTTTCTTTAGTTAGACAACTTCTCGTTGTTAACAATGATTTCAAACAAACAAAACAAGACAAAAAAACCCACCACAGCAGTTCTTGAAACAGGTGAAATCTATGTTAAAGCCCTTCCATGCTGGGTGGCCCCACTCCTGGGGTGACAGTGTAGCAGAGTATAAATTAAACAATTGGGGATGTAATCATTGAACTGTTCTTGAATGTGTGAATTATTAGTGGAAAAAAGACCCAGATGTAATTAGACCTCCACTGTGTACTTAGCTGGAAGAACATGTTAATTCTGCAATATGTCTCTTGGTTAAACATTGCACAGTTCTTACCTCATTTCTGTAAATAAGGTTTTGTGAATCTGTTTTGTATTGTGAAAAATTCATAAGATAACATTGATATTTTGATTTGTAATATTTCTAATTGGTAGATTTAATTGAAAAGTAAAATTAATTTATTTTTATATGTTCAGGGGAATTTTAAAGAAAGTCAGATCTTTTGTAGATAATTACAAAAAAATCGGTGTGGTTTATTTTACTTATTTAACCCACTGGTTGTTATTCTGTAACAATTTGTACAAATGGTAAATTTTGAATGTGTTGTTATTTTACTTAGATGTAAAATTCCACATGTATTAAAGAAAATGTACAAAGTTTTTGTTAATAAAATTTAATAATGTTTATAACTCCTCCATTTTTCCTAGTTTTATTAAGATACAATTGACATCAGCATGGTATAAGTTTAAATATATACAGCATAAAAATTTGACTTACATATATTGTGAAATAATTACCATAGTAAGTGTACATCCATCTCATACAGATATCAAAAAAAGAGAACAGCCAAGTTTTTTCCTTGTGATGAGAACTCTTAGAATTTACTCTCTTTAACTGCTTCCCTACATATCATGTTAACTACAGTTATCATGTTGTACATTACAACCCTAATACTTATTTATCTTATAACTGGAAATTTGAACTTTTTGATTACTTTTGTCCAATTCCCTCTCCCTCACCCCACCTCTTTTCTGTGAGTTAGATTGTGTTCTTTTAATAAGATTCCACATATGAGATCGTACAGTATTTTGTCTTTGACTAAATTCACTTAGCAAAATGTCTTCAATGTCCATCCATGTTTTCATGTTAGCAGGGTTTACTTCCTTTTTTATGGCTGAAAAATATTCCATCACGCACACAACACAGCAACTCCATCCTTTAATGGCCATTTAGATTATTTCCATGTCTTGGCTAAGGTGAATAATGCTGCTGTGAACATATAAGGGTATAGATATCTCTTCAACATAAGTGTTTTTGTTTCCTTTGGATGTGTTCCCAGAAGTGAGATTGCTGGATCAGCTGGTACTTTGATAATAGCCATCTAACAGGCATGAGGTGATAACTCATTGTGGTTTTGATTTGCATATCCCTAATGATTTAGTGATGTTGAGGAACTTTTCAAATGACTTTTTATATATATCTGTTGGCCATTTGTAGGTCTTCTTTGGAAAAATGTCTGTTGCAGTTCTTTGCCCATTTTAAAATTGGATTTTTTTTTTCCTATGGGGTTGTATGAGTTCTTTGTATACTTTGGCTATATTAATCCCTTATCAGATACATGATTTACAGATATTTTTTCCCATTCTGTAGGTTGTCTTTTCAGTTTGTTGTTATATCTTCTTGGTGGATTGACCCCTTTTTCATTATATAATGACCTTCTTTGTCTCTCTTTAGTTTAAAATCTGTTCTGTCCAATATATAAGTATAGCAACCTCTCCCTGCTTCTTTTTGGTTACTTCTGCTTGAAATGTCTTTTTCCATCCCTTCATTCTCAGTTAATTGTCTCAAAGACTAAAGCAAGTCTCTTGTAGGCAGCAGCATATTGTTGTATCATTTTTTTTTAATCCATTCAGCTGTTCTTTAATTTTTATTGGGGAATTTAATCTGCTTTTGTTTACAGTAGTTATTGGTAGATATGGACTTACTATGGCCACTTTGTTGATTGTTTTCTGGCTGTTTTGTAGACCCTTTGTTCCTTTTTCTTTTTCCTGCTGTCTTATTCTGTATTTTGAGGTCTTTGGGGATCAATATGCTTTGACTTCTCCATCATTTTCTTTTTGGTGTAATTACTATGGATTTTTCTCATGTGGTTACATGAGTCTTACATAAAATACCTTAAAATTATAACACACCCTATTTTAAACTGATAACTAAGCACAGCTTAAGTCCTAAGCTTCAGTTTTACTTCTTCTCCCTTCACATTTTACTGATGTTACAGTTTACATATTTTTCATATCGTGTTTCAAGTAACAGATTTTTGTAGTTATGGTTCTTTTTACTGTTTGTTTTTTGAGTTGTAAGTGAATTATGTGCCACCATACTATATTACAGAATCTACTTTTGAATATATGTTTACAATTACCAGTGAATTTCATGCTACCTTCCTTTATTTTTATGATGTTAGTTAGCATCCTTTTACTTCTACTCAACTCCCTTTAGCTTTTCTTGTAAAGCATGTCTCCTGGTGATGGACTCCCTCAACTTCTGCTTGTTCAGGAAAATCTTAATCCTTCCTTCATTTCTGGAGGACACTTTGGCCTGATACAGACTTCTTGGTTGACAGTTTTTTACTTTCAGTATTTGGAATGTATCTCCTATCTTTCCTGGCCTGAAGTTTCTTTTTGGGAAATCTGCTGATAGTCTTAATGGGATTTCCCTTGTATGTAACTTCTCTCTTCCAAAAGTATTTGTCTTTGACTTTAGATATTTATAATGTGTCTCAGTGTAGCCCTGTTTATGTTCAACCTGTTTGGGGTCTTTTGGACCTCGTGGATCTGTGCATACCTCTCCCTAGGTTTGGGAGGTTTTAGCATTATTGCTTTGAATATGCTTCCTGTCCCTTTCACTTTCTTCTGAAATTTCCATAATGCAGATGTGGGTTCTTTGATTGTGTCCCATAAGGCTTTCTTCAGTTTTTGACTTTTTCCCTTGTGTTCCTCTGACTGGGTAATTTCAAATGTCCTGTCTTCTAGGTCAGGATGATTCTTTCTCCTGCATCTTCGTCTTTTTAAAGCTGTTGAATCCTTCAGTCGTATTTTTCAGCTCTAGGGTTTTTGTTTTTAATGGTTTCTATTTCTTTGTTGAACTTCTCATTTTGTTCACAAATTGTTTTCCTAATTTTGTTTATAGTTTTGTGTTCTTGTAGCTCACTTAAGAGGATTATTCTGAATTCTTTGACAGTTCATAGATCTCCATTACTTTAGTGTCAGTTATTAGTTTACTTTGGTGATGTCATGTTTATGTGAATTTTTGTGAGTAAATGGGCTTCTCTTCCAGATTTTACAGGTTTGTTTTGGGAGAGACAGCTTTTCACCAGTCAGCTCTGTTGAGGTTTCTGGATGTGTCTGCTGGTAATGCTGTGGGCAGGTGGGGCCTGATATATTAGGGTCTATTTTGGGGCAAGGCCCCTCTGCCCAGAACCCTGAAAGGTGGGAAGGCAGGGGTGGTGGTGATGCTGAGAGGTCTTGGATAGGAATTCTGGCTTGTTTCCCTGCCCTAGCATAGCAAGGCTGTAGTATGGGCTTTGCTGTTGCCTAGGACCTCTGGCTATTGAGACTGGGTTCTATACACAGTAGTAAGCAGAACTCCGAGTTAGCGTCCCTCCCTGGCAGGCACCGTTGTTTGAAAGGCCCCCTAATTAGGCCAGACGGCACTGAACTCCCTGGTAAGACAGAGAAGCACAGGCCGTGCACAGAGTGCCACTGTAAGCATGGCTCTGGGATGGGCTGCCCACACCCGGGATGTGCTCCTGTTAGGCTCTCTGGGTGAGCGCTAGTATTTAGCAAGGGGGGCGGGGGTACACACTGCTTTCCCTGCCCAGGCAGAGTGGGAGAACTAGCTCCAAGACGGTAAGGCTCTTGCGTTCTTGACTTCAGCCCACCAGTGTCGCAAGTTCCCTGGCTGAACAAGGCCACTGGATGTGTTCAGCAGAGCTTGGCTTGCCCAACTAGGTTCCAGGGTTGCCGGGTCCTGCCAGCTTCCCTGCGTTCTCTTCACGCTCTCTGGGCAGGCGGGCCGGGGAGCCTCTCAGCAGCGGGCGGGCGTGAATGAGGGTCCGCCGGCTTCCCGGCATCCTCTCTGATGGGCGGGGCTCTGAGTGAGCTCTGGCCTGAGAGGCGGGAAGCGCGCTCCAGGGCTGGCGTCCGGCTCTATGCCGGCTTCACTGTTGAGATTCGCCGCTGGGAGCGACTGCTGCCTGGACTCACTCTGCAGGTAGGAGTTCAGTTGGCCAAGGCTGGTTGTTAGCCCCCGTTGCGTCTCCACCACAGCCGACAAGGCGTCGAGGCCCTCAGATTCCCCGGCTCCTGAGGAGGTGGAGCGGGAGTAGGGGTTCCTGTGAAGCAGCCCATGGTGCCGGGGTGGGGGCTGGATGTCCACCTGGGGACGGTCGGAGGCTCAGGGGGCCTCCTGGGTGGTGCTGTGCTGGCCCCGAGGCAAGGGCCGCACTTCATTACTCTTACTAATTAAGGCCAGTGGTGTGGATAGAGCTTCAGCTTCACCCCCTTCCCGCCAGGTCTAGGGTTTTTTAGGGGCGTCTTCTTGTGAGGACAGTGAGGTCAGAGGCCCTGTGTCACCTGCTTGGTGACGTCCGTCTTGTTTGGAGAAGATAGAGCTCCTGACGCCTTTGGTTCCTCGTGTCAGTGGGTTCCAGGAGCCTCTGGGTGCTTCGTGCTTTGGTGTCGGTGCGGTTGCGTCTTCGGGTGGTTGAAACTCGGGAGTAGACTCAGCACAGCGTGGAGAGCAAACCACCCTGTGGCCTGCTGGTTAGGTGAGACAGAGCGCCCCGCAAACCGCCGGTGTAGAGAGGAGGGAATGACCACAGTGGAGAAGACAGGAAAAGAAGTCACATCAGTAAAGCTGTATTTGTACTTGGTAATGAGTGATATCTTTTTTTTTTACATAGTTAGCTTTAACCAGAGGCATTTAAGTTAAAGAGAAACCCATGTTGCGGGCTCTCAGTGAGCATCAGAATCACCTGTGGTCCTTGCGGATGGTCAGCCTTTATTCCAGACTTACCGAACGGCAGTATGCTGGTCTGTGTAACTGGGTCCTGGTCCTTAAGTGTTGAATGAACAAGGAAAACTGGTTTAGGCTTTTCACTTTATTAAGGAGCACATTTTAGGTTTCTGGTACACAACTGGAAAATAATTATCAGATTCTGGAAAGTCTTGTCTCTCCCAAGACTGGAAGACAGGAGCTCATTGGCAGCCTCCTCGGTTTTCACTCTGAGTCCATTGACTCCAAACAAAACATGACTGGCCACGCACCTTTTCATTTCTTGTATAAGAAATGAAATACATCTATATATTTCATTTATACACTTTCATTTATATTCTTATATATATGTGTAGTCACTTGTCTTGGCTGTTTATTTGTCTTGGTTGTGATTCTCCATGTTTTAGTCGCTTTTCTAACTCACCTGAGGTTCTGGGTAGCCTAGCTCCACCCCCGCCAATGGCATGCACCTGGGCTGCTGCTCCCGCTTCCCTGTTGCTGAGTGTCATTCTGAGAAGTTTCTGAGCACCTGCTGCTTACTGCCCACCATTGACCCTTGGGAACCCTCTGTGTGGACGTGGGGCTTCGTGGGCTGGTTACCTTTGAGACTTCTGTGCAGGTGTGCTCGCTCATGGGGT